TTATATATATATAAATATACATATATAAATCAATTTCTAATGACAAGAACCCCTTCTCCAAGAGTTCTTCACCTTTTTAACCAAACCTGTCTACTTAAACTTTTTCTCTGCATGGTCCAATATCAAATCTACAGATCCAACAGGGGTTAGTACTTGAGTAGCAAATTCATGTGGAACTGGCAACAAAGATGAAAAATATAGCTTGTATTGACAGAAGAGGAGCAGTTATTCAAATCCTGAGGTGCCTGGTTCAGTAAGTTAGTATTTTGATTTGTAAGAAAAATCATACACTCAAGAGGACAGAAGTAGCAGAAGTTAGATCAAAATACTTTACAAAGGATTTGGAGACATTTCACCAGTTAGAAACCAAAGAGAAGAAAACATGACACACTACTTGACTGCTACTGTTTTTGAACCTCCCACACGACAGCACTACAGGAGAAGAGTCTTAGGATCACATCATCATGCTTCCAGTAAAGATGGCAAAACAGTGTTCTTTTATAACATGCTGTTAAGATCTCAGCTATGATACTGCATTCAGTTCTGGTCCCTTCTGCTTGTCAAAAACAAATCCAAACTGGAACAGGCAAAGGGCAACAAAGACACCAAGAGGGACCACCTCAGAAGCAAACTATTACAGTGAACAGCAAAATTTATGTTAGTCTAAGAATGGACAATGACTGGCCATATTAAGTTCAGGTGAGAAATTAGGACACCTTTTACCATTTATGGAGTAAAGACATTCCAAAACCTAACAAGAAGAGCTAGAGAGAGAAAGCACCCTTTCAGCTTTTGGAAAAGAGGAAGATTTATGGGTAGGATCATGCAGTTTTTTGAATAGCAACTGCGTCAAGTCTCTTATTATGTTTCAGTTGTTGAAGAAGAAGTGTTGAATGTCTCCAGATCTCCAGTAAGTCTGGATTCATGCAGGCTTGTCCAGCTTCCACCAGACAGTCTCTAGCACAGCAAGACCATACAGTACAGAAAACAGCAGGCCCAGGGGGCTTCGGTGGGTACTGAGTATTACTGTGCTGCTTGATATGAACACACAGCTAGTGCACAAGCTGTCTGCAAGGCACACACATCAGCGGAAGGTGGGCTGTGGACAAAGCACACTATCCTCATGGTGACCCTAGAGGTTGTACCTACATTGTAAAATAAGACATGTAGCCAAAGATCTGGCAGGTCTCTTCAAGCTCTGAAGCATAGGATATTGCACAGTGTCTGAGAGAGGATAGCAGATCAGAGATGGACCCCTAGGGAAATTTCCTTGCCTTTAAAAGGCAGAGGTTCAAACAAACATTTTTCAGATTCCAGTCTCCTCCTGTGAAATCCTAGAGCGAAAGAAATCACTGGGAGTTTTGCCACAGACTTCAGGGGAGTGAGGATTTCACCCCTACTGATTTGAAAGCATTTCCTTAGTGCAACAGGAATACAAACACAAAACCTTGTTATGTCACATTCTGGGCAGACATGTTCCTTCCAGAACTGATAACAATGTGTACTTTTATACTGAAAAAAAATATTTAACAGATTAAACTTTCCTTACAGAGAGAAATGCTTGCAAGTTTATTTTTAAAGAACAAAATTATATCCAAGACGTATTTTAATGAATGAATCTTCAAAGAGCCATGTGTTTTGCATACAGATCATGTATACAATACTTCTGATGTTATTGTTATCAGCTCTTGAACAAAAGTTTTAATGTTTGTTTGAACATCTTTCATTTTAAATTTTGCATAAACCAGACCTGTGCTTTCCCTCTATTTTACAACTCTCTCCTGGGAGCTCCATAATGTCTGCATCTGGATTCTTTTTTTCCTTCGGATGAGAAAGGAATGATTGTCCTGGTACAGGAATGAACTTGGTCTCTCCTGGATATTGTCCAACAACACTGCCAGCACACATGCGGTGGTGATGTATTACATGCAGACTTTACTGCTTGTCCCCCTTTTCAAGCCCTTCCCAAAATAAAGCATAACTACTTTTCAACTATCAATTTAATCTCTTTACACAGCACTAAAGATCCGTATCGCAGAGCATTTGTGTATTATGGTTTTTGAATACAAAGTGACGTCCTACACAGTGCCTTCAGCTTTGACTTGTTTTCAAGACATTACAGAAAGCACTCCAAAAATCCTTTAATTCTTTAACTAGCGAATAAAAACTGTGGGGGAGAGAAGTTAACTAACCAGTTTTATCTTATTTTTCTGAATGACTTCTTTGTTATCCTTCTGGTACAGCTCCATTCTCCTTTTGGTGTTCTCCACATCCACATTGTTGGTCAAGTTAAATACTGCATAAATATTAGAAAGACAGAAAGCAGATATTAGGTCGGCATGCACAACTATGACAAAGAAATACTGCTCTTATGTTCTCTATCCATTCTAGCACCAGACATAAACATTGCAATAACAACATTTATTTCCATATGCCCTGTAAAGCAAGACAAACTGCTAAATCACTGCAAGCTTCAACAGAAGCCAGGAGAATTCCTTTAGATTTAATACATCTGTAGGAGATGAGAATTTGAGTCTTGCATCCTATTTTATGATACTGATAATACATGTGAATAATCATAATACTACCCACAAAACCTTGACCATTTCAAGTAGCATTTACAGCTAAGGACACAGTGATTCCTGTACTCATAGACTAAACACATATAAATTAAGACAGGGTCAGAAATTAAGCCATTCAATTTCATAAGATTATCTAATGGACGAAAACTACAGAGACTGTTCAAATTCTCAGGTGCATAAAAAATTTCACATTACTTGGTAACTTAAAAGGCACCGATGTACAATTACCTATATTATAAGGAATCTGCAGATGCATCCAGATCAATAGCATAAGTGACATTCTTTTGATGTCTCTTAATGGTGGCAGACTATATCTCACACAATTACAAGCAAGCAGGGTCAGCCAGCAAGCTCCATAGCTTAGCACAACATTCCCAATTATCTCCACATGGCACGGAAGACACCTCAAGAAACTGAACAGTTTCTATAATCAACAGCTTGAAAGATGTAGCTGGTTTGGATGATTAGTAATCTGATACAATGCCCGAGCCTTTCAACTCTAGGTCACTGGTTCAGTTGTGGGTCAAGTGAATTCCAACTGAACACCATTATCACTGGGAAGTTGCTTGGGGATCACCATCTAGAGTGGATGCTGGGCTCATGATCATTGCCTTAAAGCTGCTGAAGACTGCCAACATACAGCACTCAAAGCCTCAAAGAGCTTTGTCACGTGGCTACAGCAAATTTAGAAGAGCAGCAGAGAAATCTGCACTGCCACTGATAAATGCAGCACAAGAAAAGGGCACAGCAACCATGTTAAGTCACACCCTAAGAAGGGAAGGAGGGTCTGGTGGAAATGCCAGCACAAAACTTGGAAGATTTTGGTTCAGTTCTGTCTTCTACAGTCTCAGGTGATTGGGCCAAATAACCCCTGGGCACATGCACCACTGCCAAGTCATTTGTATAAGGCTGCTAGAGAGAAATGGAAGGAAGCATGAAGCTTGTGTTGTTACTCAGCAGAACAGCACACATGTCAGTTTGGTAAAGATCATTCTTCTTTCATCCTCTCCACAGGTAACATGGCAGAAATGAGTATTTAAAAGAGTTCTAGGTAAACCCAACCATGAACCAGCCTAGACTGGCAAGCCAGTTGAAAGTAGCAAAGGAAACAGCAAGAAATCAAAGCAGGGAGCAAATGGAGCCTTTCCCCTTCTCTGACTCCAGGACTCCCCAGATGCTTTGCAGTGTCAACAGTAACCCTCAGTAACCTGAACTGGCCCAACAAAGGGGTCAGGCAAGTGCCAGAGACAATGCAAGGGAAGTACCAGAAGTCTACAGATGAGAAAAGGAATACTCCCATGGAGTACTGAACCACCACGTTATCTTATTCTTATCAAATGCATTCAGCCCTTCCATGAATTGCAGCAAAGGCAAGATGCAGCTGAAGAAATTCCTAAACTTACAGAAAATTTGTAATTTTTTTTTTTCCCCGTCCTCTTTTCCAAATAATGAGCAACATCACAAGGGCTGACATTTTGATTCAGCCTGGTTCCTAAATCAGCCAAACTCTTCCACCCTGACCCCACCCATCATTTCTGAAGTCACTTGAGATACAAGCTGGTTTTGTGGTTTAAGCATTTGAATCAAAACCTGGGTTCAGCTCCCAACTTTGCTCCTGTTCCTGGGCAGATCACTGGGCCTCTATACTGGAGGTGTCCCACTGGTAAGAACCAGGAGCAGGGGAATAAAGCTTCCTTCCTCCTGTGCGTAGTCTGCTACATCTCCTCACTACACCTACATGCAGCACCTACCTCTGTAGCCCTGATTTCACCTCAGGTGGAACTTTCGGGCACTGTTACAACCCAAACAAGTCCTTCAAAGTTCAGGTCTTGTTTTTTGGAAGCAAATTACCCATTTCAAATCTATTTCATTTTTTTTCTCTCAAAAAAGCACAGCAGCATTTTCCCATTTCACATTGCAACACATACACTTTCTGGTCACAGCAGCATTTCCTTCATAAAACACATTTTCGTTTGTATTTTTCATATTTCAATGGTGATTTGACCTCCAACTTCCCAGCCCACAGCTCCCTGCTGTCAAGCAGCTTAATATTTGAGTATTACAGCAGAGAAGAATTGTCATGTGAAAGTGCTGGCACACAATCAGACCACGGCTCTGCAATGACAGCAGCTGCATGGCAATGTCAGCACTTACTACAACTTAAATCCACACACCAGCTCTCTGAACTCTTTGATGACAACACAAGAAAGAAATAGCATATGAGACATGCTGTCCTAGAAGGATGCTCAGATGCCACCTTCAGGTGCAAGAGGAGGAGAGAGATGCCAAATGCCTTTGGGCTCCTGAATATCTTGGCTATTCCTCAAAAAGTAATCCAGCAACAACCTGGTATCTGGGGTTTGCAACTGCTTTGAAACATACAGGGTTGGGTTTTTTTTTTTTTCCTCCTTTTTCAGTCATCTTTAATTGCTTCAACCAGTCACAATCTAGGTTTCTAAAACAAAAACCATAATATTTAAAACTGGAAAAAGTAGGCAAATTTTAGACACATGCAGGTACCTGCCTTTACTTAGAACTACTTTTGAAAGTGGGTTTATTTTGCTACTTGATAGGAAGCAACCTTTCCATGTAAGAGATGTTTCTCCACCAATGTTTAAAAAATCTTCACTATCTACCCGCATAGCCACTTCAAATTCCCACTTCTCTGCTCACAGCAAGGTGAAAGATGGTTTCTTTTCCCTTCTGTTTTCCTGTTGTGGCTGGAACCAAGCCCTGGGTAAAACCCTCTCAGTGATCAGATCTGCTCATACCATCCCGATTGCACTTTTTCTTGCTCTGCTCTGTCACTTGAGGACATGGTAGGACACCAGCAATCAGAAAGACTCATATTTCCAGCACCCTCACAGGCCACAGCAGATTTCTCCCACTGAATATTGATTTATAGTCATTAAAGAGGAACATTACCCTGGTCCTAAGTATCTGCTCCTCAACACTAAGGTGTCCACATCTCCAGACTTAAGACACTGAAGAGTTAATTTTTCTTTTTGCAATAGTGTTAAGACCTGGAGGATGTCTCTACATGGACATCAGCTGTCCTATAATAAATGAAAGGAATATCTTCCCTCCTACAAAAAACACTCCAGCAGCAAAACAATCTACCCTCTTTGACACTGCATGATTACCAGTGGCCAACCAGCCAAAATCTCTTCCAATCTATTTTCTAATATACTTTTTATAAGCTTCAAATATCTTTTCATCAATATTCAGAAAATACAAATTCTTGGCCATTGTATCCTCACAATTACCATTCACATGTCCATTTTTTGAGGCCATTAGGCCACAAAAGATAATTGAGACTATATCTTTCTCTTCTCTCCCTTGTCCCCTCCACAACTTACCTGGCATTTAAAAAACAAAAAATATCAACCCAGAAGAAGACAGTCACAAACAGTCAACATCTTTTACATAGCTGTGGTTACACAGTACAGTTTTTTGTTTGGTCTGCTTTTGGTTTTGCCAGAAATTTATTTTAAATGTAATTCTTCCAAATGTTACCTTGTTGAAAAAATAACACAAGTTTATAAAACCAGAAGAACCAGAAATAGTTAAACTAACTCATAGCCACATCTACCCTGAAAAAACATTGGTATAGATCTGAATATGACTGGCAAAGCAGATGGCTAGTTTGAAAAGGTTTCAAAGAGAAGCCAGACATTTTTGTCCATGCTGAAATATAGCATAAGCTGATATAAGAGGCCTGAAACCCTTCAGGGAAAAGAAACAGAAGCTGTTTTGTATGCAACAATTATTTATCTACTTATCCATCTCACATTGGTTGGTTTATAAAATGACTTGCCTTGAGACATCTGTTGAAGTATAACAAGAAGACTATTGTTTTTCTGAAACATTTCATTCCATTTAGGTAAAACTCCCTACTCCTGAAATTAAGCTTTTACAGGAAGACTTTCACTGCTTTTCAAAACAATATTCATTATGTAATTCTATAAAAAATGGAAAAATATTTTCCTACTTATCAAATAAAGAAAGGGAGACAAAAGTTCTAAATGTATGGCACAATGATTTGTCCAGACGTGAATGAATGTCACTCCAATGCAGGACTTCTGCGTTCATAAAAATCTCCCTGTTTTAGTCTGAGAGTACAAAATTTCAGAAACTCTTCCTCCTGGTCCCTTAAGAGACCACAATGTTACCATGTAAAAAAAATTTGCTATTCAAATAGTAGGAATATTCCCTCTCTGGCAGGATAGCAAATGATTGCTCTGCTGACAGCGTTTGATCTGCATTGCTGGTATAAGTCAGCTGAAAATTCAAAAATCACTAGTATTGGTTCCTCAAACAATATTCCTCTCACCCTACTACAAACAATTCCTTCATTATCATCTTCATAAATTGCCAGCCAGAGGTAGGGAATAGCAGAAGAACTGCTTTGAGCAAAGTGCTCTGAAGGTAGACGACCACATCCTCAGTCTGCCCAGGGAATCCAAAGCTATGGCATCTTCTGCTGGTGCTTTCAATGCCTGGTCCCTGTACTTTTAAGAGGGGTAGGAAGTGAAGTGAGAGGGAGAAGAGATGGAAGAGGTTTTAACAAGTCCCTTCCAAACAGTACTTCTGTTACTATAAAAAAAAAAAAATAATCATCAGAAACAAAAGAAGACCCACAGCTAAGCCAGAAAAGTCTACTTAGGTACTAATAATTATTTCTGTTTAGCCTCAGTTGTCTTTTATTGGGTTAATAATTTTCCAGAAAAAATATCTTAGCATAGTAATAAATAAATGAACAGTCCCAGCAGTCTAAGAAAGATCATTTTGGCTGGAACAGTGTAGTACTGAAATCTTTGTTCAGATGAAATGCTCAAAATGGATCTTTGATAAAGACTGTTCCTAGCTGGGTTATTTTCCCTTTGTCAGGCCCAGGAATACCATCCTCGTGCACATAGAGAGAAGGGAGAAACAACCCACAAAACAATAAATACCACAACCACAAGTGATCATAGATATAAGAATCCTTTATCTGCAAGGATTGCTTGTGAGATTAACCTTCTAAGACAAATCACCAGGCAGCTGGTATTGCATAAATTGTTAGAGGAGTAAGGAGATACAGGAATCTGAAGGGAACAAATACAGAAGTCTCCTTCCAAGTACTGAATGTTTTTAAAAAGCATTAATTGTTATTAACAATTGTTGCGGTAACGCCTAGAGGCCTCATCCAGGTGTCAGCAAAACGGTGCCAGGCAGTGTGTAGGCACGTCAGGAGGCGGGTCCTGCTTTGGACAGCTTACACATCAGGGTTTTGAAAAACTGGCTACAGAGATACTCCAGGAAAGAAGAAAATTGTGTGGAAAGAGCAAGCAAATTACGCCCGATGTCCAGAGACTGTAACTTGCAGCAACACTCTAAGGCTTAACCTTGTCCTGCTCATCATATTGGCACAGACCTGACTTGTTCCAACAGATGTTGTCCACACCTTTCCCAAAGGCAGGTTTTAACCCCTTCACTTTATTTTTCTTCCTAGTGTTAATGACAACAAACTGTGTTAACAATGTTCTCAAATTGTCCAACTGATTTTTCTTCTAGGGAAGACTTGCTTTAAAATGTGGTTTCCATTTAAAGCCTTGTGTAACACGTTTTAGCCCAAAGCATTATTTAGTGGCTACATTCTAAACCACTTCAAAAACGTGGTTTTTATAACAGAAATCTTATGAGGTGACTACCCTAATGTTTTTTTGACCTTTCTCTCTCACTTTTTCTATACCACCCAACTTCTTTAAACAGAAATGGTCTTCAATCCTGATATGAAGGAGGAAAATGTGTTTTAAGTGAGGACATATCTCATATCAACAGAATAAGACAGTGCAATTGCTGCAAATGTTGGAGCTGACCTGTCTGAAATATTTAGAATAACTATCAGAATTGTGCCAGGGTTACTTGAAGTATACTTATATGGGATGTTTACATTTTGTCTCTGCCAAGCAACTACTTCATTTAATCCCCCACAACAACTTAAGAGACAAAAACTACCTTCAAAAAGAAAAGAGTAAAGCTGGATTTCGACCCTCCTATAGAAAAAGAGAAAGGTTTGCTGGGACAGGGGAAGAAAGGAGATATCCATTTCTTTGCTGCTCCCTCAATTCCCAGCCTAGCAGCTTGAACAACCCCCACCAGCTAACATCACCCTGCTGGATGTTAGCTCCAAAATGCCAAACTTTGTGCTGCATGACTACTAATCCATTTCCTTCCCATCTTGCAGCCTAATTTTTCCACATGCACAAACAAGCAGGGAATTCACATTCATAAAAACATTAAATAAATATGTTCGGGAGTAAAATGTGAAGTAACCATGTGGAGTCAAAGACACTTACCTTTAACACCTGGTTCAGCCACACCACACACAACATGCACAGGAAAAAAAAAACAACACAGTGGAAGAAGTCACACTATCACTACATACCAGACAACTATCAGCTGGAGGACTCTGCCCCAGAGCACAGGCAGGGGAGGGCTTAGGGAGAGCAAGATGTGCACAACAAGCTCTGCCAGCAGGGAGGGGAGGACAGGGCTTGAATTCTTAAGCCAAGGTGGTGTTCTTGGGTCTGACCTGTCCTCCAGCTTCTGCAGCCACCTGAAGTTAGTAGAGATCATAACTGACCCCTTTGATGGTGAAAATTAAGAGCCTTTTGACCATACCTCTTCTTTCCTCTCATCACTCTGACTGCTACATCAAGAAACCAGGACACAGACTTCCTATTCCTTTTAGTATTTTAGGTATGACTTTCAGGCAACTAACTCCAATTCCTAACAACTCTAACTATGGAGCTGCTTCATCACGCATTTGCAGGCCCATCACAACTGTTGCCAAATTTAATCTTCCTTGCAAGGTTACAAAGACCAGCCATGACTTCTGGTGCTTCTAAACCAAGTTACCAATGCAGGCTCTGGACCTACTCGACATTTAACAATGTAATTCAAAGAGCTAGACTACCAAAACATTCTGCACAAATTGATGAGGCTATGGCAATTACAGGCAAAATTTCAACTCCCTGTTGCAGATGATGAACAACCCCTCCTATATCCCAGCCAAAACCAGGACACCCCTGCAATAGCTCAGAGTGGGATACCTGCACTTAATGCTACATAAATAAAGAGCAGTTTTCCTTTCCATGAGCACACATATTCTTCCCAAATTCTCTGGCTAAGATGCAACCACTCTTTCTGTTCACTCCCTCCTTCCCCAGCAGCATCCAAAAAAAAAAAAAAAAAAAAAACCAAAAACAGAACTACACCCACATTGTCTCCTCCAGATATTTGGACCTGTATGAGTGTGCCTTGTATTTCCCAGTCACACAATTTAGCTCTCCAGCCTCAGCCTTCTGATGCCAATGAAAACATGACACATTACTCACAGCAGTAAGTGTATTGGATACATTTCTACAAAACACCACAGTGCAAAGAGGAGCAAGGGCTCCTTTGAGAAACCAAAGGGGAGTGGCATCCCCATGTTTTCCTTCAAATCACATCCGCTGCCCCTCCTGCACGTTCTAAGGCACCTCTTCTTCCTCCAGGACATAAAAAGAAAAGCCTCAGAAGCTCATAAACCCCAAGAAACAAACCATTTAAGAGTCACTCCTTTGAACACATCCCTGTTTTTCTAAGGAAAATCCATCACTCCACCATAAATCACAAGTCACCCTAACTACGAAGAAAATAAACTCTGTTGACAACATAGTCCCTTGCCCAAAGGGCAGAGTTCTGCCCCAACTAATCCAAAGAGAAAGAAATCAATGTCTCTTTCCAAACCTTCTCCTTCTGCACAGCAACATAAAATGCTTCCACAGTGGTATGCAAGGTCACCAGCTTCAAAGCAGCTTCAACTACTGTACTTGCAGAAGCAAAAATGCTGAAAGAAACCATATGGCTTCTGCCATGGTAGATAAAGCCAATAGAGGTATAAAATGAAAATTTCAGTTTCTCCTCTCTTTGTTTAATCTTTCTCAGGGCAGCACCAACGGTCCCCTGCAAGCCTTTCTTCTCCAGCTATAAAGCATTACTTCTTTCAATTATGTTTTTTTGCTAACAGATAAAATATTTTACTTGAGGATGTCCTACAGTTCGGCAAATATGACTTAAAATGTACCCAAAAAAGTAATTAGATAAACATCTGATACTATGATAAACCCTATTACAGAAACACAACTTAGACATTCTCATGGGTAGCAGAGGTCAGAAGATAAAAGCTTATGGTCTCATGAGCACAGCACATCAAAAATGTAACCAATATATAATACTTACCAATTTCTTCTATTTCTTCCAGGAAATCATTATATTCATTTAGACTGGAAAAGTCATCCTCTCTTTTATTGTATCTTTAAGAAAAGAGAAACAAGTATTTATATAACACAAAAAAAGCAATTTCAATTCAACAAGGCTTGTGCTGTGAGCATATTGAATATTGACCTAGTTTTATAATCCATGTGCTTCATGGCTCCCACAACTGACCAACATACAGAATCTTTAAAAAGACATAAGTGCTTGTTTCAAAGAAAAGGAGCCAGCCTGGCATAAAACAGCGCTATCCTTGCCTACTGCTGGCTGATTCCTTTTCCAGGGTTAAACAGGAATATAGAGGCTAGAATATACTAATTCTAAGCCAGCTCTTCAGTATGAGAAACCTGTTAACAAAGGCATAGACAACAGTAACACCCAGAAGAAAAGCTTTCCTAGAAATATCAGAAAAGGGAATTAAGCTTTGTGCCAACAGCAGAAAGCGTATGTCAGCAGCAAACTGAAAACGTTACACAGTTATCTTATTTCATATCAATAGACCATTGCAGAACTGAATGTATCCAACTCTCTCCATGGCTGGAAAAAGTAAGATGATGAAGGGACAACTGGCTAGAAGGTGGACAGCCTCTCAAAGTCAAGACATGCAGGGTTTCTTCCCAAGAAAATACAAAGCTAAGATTCTGCCTGCTCTGTGGACCAAGACAGATAACACCCTGGAGTACACAAATTTAATCTCAAGAACTCTGGCCAATTTCCAATTTGGGGACATTTTTTCTGCCTACTAAAAACTAATTTGGCACATCTGAGGGGGCCAAGCATTTCAGAACATCTTCTGTTCTAACTACACTTCATTCTGTGTTCAGTCAACCAAACTGACTTCATTCCAGTTTGACTTTTGTTAATTTCAGTAGACTTTATAATCAAACATCAAAATTATTACTACTTTCCACATCATCATCTTGGTATTCAGTGACAATTCCCCCACATCTCAGCAACATCATACAATTCATTTAGTATTGTACAAAGTCTTAGATAAAGGCTGCCCAAGCTTACAATTTACCTGTACGTTCATTTTTGCACACACAAGTCTCTCCAGGTTTGTTGCATTTCACCAGACCATCTTCTGTCAAAACACCAACTGGTTCATTTCTTTTCCTTACAAAATGTTATCTCTTGGCCACAAGCAGTAAGATGCAATTTTAGACATCTTTTACCTTAATTCCAAGAGCTCTCAAATCTGCATGACATACTTGTAACCCAAGGCTTCTAAGGAAGCTTTTCCACTAACAATTGCTGTGTGAAGCAGAAAACAATGTGAACACAGCTTCTCTTTTGTTCATTTTCATTTTGAAGGGAACTGGCCTTCAACTCTCAGAACAGGTCCCTAGGGAACAAAACAATCAAAGTTCTGTTCTTGCCCCACTCCCATGTTCAGGCTCTCAAAGGGAAGCAGCTGTAGTCTTCAATATCTAATCATCTCCATTTAGGAGGAAAGTCTTTGCCAAAGGAGGCCACATAGAAACACCCAACATTTTCTAATGCTAAGCAGGAATCCCTCCAGGCTAAATAGAGAATTCATCCCTCAGTTGTTGCATAAAATCAGATTCTCTGAAATCCCTCCACATTAAACGCAGTCAGGTTATATGGGCTGTCACTTTAAAAACAAATAAATCTCCTCTGTACTAGTGGAGGAGTAAGTCAATTTTTTAAATGGTGATCCATGAATACGTTCACCTTCTGTTCTTTTAACTGCTAAAACTCACATTTTCAACACTTTCTTCCGAATTTCTACTTCCTTGTCAATAGCAGGATCCTCAAAGAGCTGTACCCTGAAGTTACTCTTCCGCAGGGGGGTATCGCACTCATGGCAATTCCCAGCTCCTCTCACAAAGAGCAGTTCCACACAGCTCTCACATCTGTGGGAGACAGGAAGGGGTATAAAGGCAGATATAAGTTAAACAGTAACAGAAACACAGGATTTTCGTTGTTTACACACACACAGTGTAAGTACATAGCACACCTCCCCTTGATTTCACTTGTTCTTCAGCACCCAACAGTGGGAAGCAGGCAGGACCTCTCTCCACCATGGCTGAAACAATCTCTGCAGCACAAATGCATTTATTCTCCCTGTCTAAACAACTCGGCCTCTCTGCTGAGGCTGGTTAACCCAACTGCAATGATGGGGTTTGTGTCAGGGTGAAACGTGTTTACTGACACCAACAAACTCATTTTGCACGGACCAGGCTCCAGTACCTCTGTTTACTCTGAGGACCACCTTGCTGCACAAACAAGCTCCGTTTGCTTTCCTGATGCCAGTCACAGCACAAGGTGTTCAGCACAAGCAGGGATACAAATCTTGCCCGCAGCTTCCCAAGCATCCACCAGTACAACCACGGAAGAACTGCTATAACAAACCTGACCTAAACACCAGCCCAACACGGCTGAAAAGAATCCAAATACAATTTCAAGCAGCAGCCAGAACTATGCAGCTCTCCTGTGCCTTCTGTTAATACTTTTAAAGTGGTACATAAAATATACCTTACATAGAGGCTACACAGAAATAAACCAAAACCACATTTCTGTTTTTCTCTCTTTTGTCTGAATGAAGACTTCAGATTTCAACAAGACATTGGCTCTACCAGCCAGTTGGCATTTAATAAAGGAAGAATACAAAGCACAAAAGCCAAATTTTAAAAAAAGGACTTGGGTACTGATAACGTGCAAATTTCTAGCAGAGGACAACACCTGCTGCAGTCATTTCCTACTGCTGGGGAGGCAAAGAGAGTGCCTATTTATAGCTTTGCTGTATTGAAGCCCAAACAGTTGTACATTAAGGGCTAAGCTGTATTGCACCCTCACAAACCCAGCACAAAAGCAAAACAAGTTAAGAGAAACAATACTGATGTGGTTGTGAAGGACCTTAAACAAAACTTCCACTCTGCCACTTACACCCAACTACACTGGTTCTAGTACTTAGAGAAGCAGAGCCAGCTAGAGCCAACCAGTTTTACCCAGCATCTGTTTTCAAGATTAGAAAGTACAAAACAAATGCAACTGTATCTTACAATTTAAAAACAAAAACAAAAACAAATCAGGGCTTTTTTTTGTTAACACAAGTAGAACTACAGTTTCCAACTGCATCTCGCACAGCAGCTGCCAGTGTTAAAAAGCAAACCTTGAATTTACTTGGACGCTCTCCAGAATTCCTTGAGTCAGAAAGCCAAGCACATTTAAATACAATCTATCTGGGAACGGAAAGATCAAACCTTTTGGCACGCTAGGCTTGAAATTTAGAAGTTAGTGGGACACCAACACAAGAAGAACGCTTCTTTATGAAAATGATTTAGCTCGCCACTATGAGAGCAGCAACACTAAATGCAAGAGAGAAGGTGAAGGCAAGGAAGTTTTCTCCTTCCTCCACCAGCCTGCCTGTGCTTGCAACAGCTCCGTACATAAGGACAGTCTCACCATCTCCTTCGTTTTGGCAGCTCGTGTTGTTTATATGTCTCTCTCTCAACACAGCAGCCAAAGCACAGCAGAGAAAAAAAACACCACCCTGCTGATTCTTTCCTATTTTTAAGTTATAGGAGAGGGAGTGTAAAGCTACAGAAGTTGGCAGGTGGATCCCAGTGTTTGTACTGGGTTTTTAATCAGGGTACAACAGAACAGGGTCTCCATGTGCAAGATACTATGCACAGACAGCAGCACCTGAAACTTCTTTCCTCCCCTCCCCTCTCTTCCCTAGATCAAAGACATTTCAAGTTTACATGGGAGCCGAGTACGGAAAAAAATGTCTCCTTGGAAAACCATTTCATACAAGTGCTTCAAGGCCTTCCCAAACTGGAACCAGTGTTTCTAAGGCTGAAAAATAGCTTTCCATACAAAAAGAGACGAGTCAACACCTCATTATGGGAATCCCACATCCAGTGATCACATTCTCACTCACTCATGCACATCCACCCTGATATTTATTCACAGATAATTCCCTATGCATTCAAGAGGGGTTATGTGGGACAAGTCAAGGGCAGACCTGGACTCTATTCAAATCCTGCCGCCTCTCCATCTCTGGATAGATTTAATACACACAATTAGACCCCAAGCTTACTTCCTAGCAGGTCTGTCATTCTTGTCCCCACAAACCACAGCCACTTTCCCAGCAGCGCTGAGCAGCTTTGGTCACATGTTTCCATCTGATTCTTGAGGAACAAAAAAAGCCATCTCCCAAATCCCTCTCAAGTTCCTTTTGGTTTCACTGCACACCACTAAAATAGGAGTATATGCAAATACCAGGAAAGTAGATTTCAATAAAGATGGATTTAATAAAATTTTAAAATTTTAAATTTATAAATATTAAAAATAAATAATTTTCATCACTTGAAATAAACATTTCAGAACATGACTGGAAAACAAATTTTACCTCACATGATGAAATTTAAAAATACAGCATGACTTTTTTTTTTTTCCTTTGAAGGCAGCAATCTATGTGACTTCACCAGAGGTATGCAACTCATGCATCAGCCAGACATCTAAGACAGCACAAAGGGACATCCCAACACCACAGCTGGCATTACAAAGCTCCCTCCTGGCAGATCAACCACACCAATTCAGATGATCCATCGATTTCTTTACAAGTCCAACTCTTCTTCATCTGTCTTACTGTAAGGACAGTCTGACTATGGAAGCAGAACATCATTCAGTGCATCTTTTATTGGCCAACATATCACATGTCTTTCCCCAGATGAGCAAAGCACCAAAACAGCTGCTTAATTCCCCTTCAAATCATGGCCAAAACAGGGAGCCACATATTTTCTTAAATTAGAAACCTTAAATCAGTGACTTTTTAACATGTGTAAGAGTATTATGCATGCATACATACTACATACATAAACTAACAAGGACAAGTGTCCCATGTTTACAAATCAGGTCTATGCATTTATTCAAAACTGAGTATGTCTGAAGACAACAGCTTCACATGAGGTCTGAATGAACACTCAGGGTGTGATACTGCCTGTTTTCTTCACACTAAGGTTGGTCTCTGATCTGTATTCTATTTCAGACATACACAAAAATCTTTTGTTATCTTTTGGATTTAAGTTTGTACCCTGAAACTCGGTGATCTGGATTAAAATATCAAAAGAAAATGCCCAGGGAGATACACACGTGTGGATGACATGGGAAGACTATAAGTAATGTCATCAGGAAAAGCAATCACAACACCTCCACGAACAACAAAGTGTCTTCATCTTCCCCACCACGTTAATAAACGTCAGTATGCCCACTTTCATTTCCATGGACACTGCTTTGACCTGGCTTGTTCTTCTCCCCCATTCCTGTGAAATATTAAACAAATGGCTGAGTCTCTACACAGCCCAGAACGAAACCACATTTTTGAGGAAAGCATATAATAAAGCACAGAGATGGTTTGGCACCATCAAGGCACTACTAGCACTACATGCCCTTGTGTCAGTGTTCAAGACTTCAGGATTGTACTAAAAATGTTTTTTGTACATCACAGAAAACAAGCAGAGGTTCCTCTCCAGAAAACTGCTAGATATTTATCAACTAAATTACACTTACTGGAACTGAGTGTTTGCTTTGGACAAAGTGTCTTCAAAGGGTACAAGATTTGTGCCCAACCCTGCATTTCCCACACATGCACATATAGGCTTCATGGAGGGATGATGGCAGATAAGCAATAAAGCCTCTTGGGCACTGAATGGATGAAAATGGCTCACAGCATTGATCGAGCTGCTTACTTTGTTTTCCTAGCTTGGCTGGCAAAAGAGCAAACAAAACAGCATAAAGGAAGAGCTATTTTCACAAGCAGGAGTACAAGAGACACTTTCTTTTAAAATTTTAGATTCTGCTGAATATGGCAAAAATCTGCAGGACTTCAGATATGCAAGCATTAATCATTTTTGAGAAAAAAATCTTTATGGCTTATCCTGTTGACTAGAAATACTACAGAATGAGTTACCACCCTTCTTTTCAAACACTATTTTTAGTAGATATGCTTATTAAAAGTATCAAATACTTAGAGTCTTTAAGCCTTTCTTCTTCCGCTTTTATAACCAAGACATTACTGCTAAAGCAACACGCAAAACAAATGATCCTCTCTACTATGGAAAAAAACAATTTCATTTAAAAAAATAATGATACAGCCTTCAACGTACAGCCAAAACCTGAACCACAAACAAATGGAATAGAAAGAATCAGCAAAAAAGATGTTTTCACTTGTTCCTCAATTCTGATGTCAGAGAGAAATTTACTTACAGAAATTAAACGACTTCTTGATTTATGGGGAGGGAACATTAAAAACTCATTGAAAAAACACACGCGAGGAGGCTTACAGAAAGACACCTAGATTGTTAAAACCAAGATGCCTCTAGAAACATTCACAGGCTTTTTGCTTAGCTTGGGTTAGACAATTTTGTGTTCTTGCAGAGAGACTCTTGAACTGAGACAAGAACAGCCCAATTTGTAGTGAGCAGCAGTCAAACCTGTTTATTTCGCAACCTTCAGTACTTTTACCCAGTCCTCACAACCCGCAGCAGTTTCTGCTCCATAGCCAGGAGTTCATCTACTGCCTGCAGTTGGCCACGGCAGGCTTTTTTTCTAGGCTGGACTAACAGGCACAGTCTAGAAGGCAGGCTCTTCCTAAAATCTGTCGTAGTGATGATCTCTTTGATGCAGAAAGCAGGAGTGAGAAGAACTGAGCAAAAGCAATTTTTCTCCCATGTTACAAGTTAGGCTTCAAAAGCTGCAGAAAGAGAAAGAAGTGTGACTGCAATGACACCAAATGCTTCTGAGAGCTTCAGAATAAAGGAGCTTAAGTGATCAGTAGCTCCCAGATGAGCAGGGAGTTGGGGCAAAACCAAGCCTTTTCCTTTTCACATTTGAGCTTCAGAAACTCAAA